TATAGGGCCCAAAAACATTAATGTATGAAAAAAGTAATACATAACAGCTGATTCCAAAATCGATATATCATGCATCCTTAGAAGTACAATTTCAATTCCATCAATCCAGAAAAATCTGGATATGCTGCATTTTAGATAATTATTAAATGTTGCATATCCCAGTAAATCTGTTTCTCCTTTAAATCTGCAGCTCTCCCTACTTCTCTCTGTGCTCTGTTTAAAAAGATTTATGAACCTATTTACTAATATAATGATGCCAGAAACAAATCTATTTCTGTTTGTACAATCAGAAAACTTTTGTTCATTTTAACTTGTAACTAAGAACAAACTGTTTTCTCAATATTCTTGCATCATAAAACTAATCTGTTGCCCTTTTAAGCTGAAAAAGCTCCGTATGTCTAACGAACTGATTTTTCGGCGCCATGATCTCAATTTTTTTAACCAACTCGTCTCCTAACTTTTACTTAAACATCAAAGTAGCTGCTGGTTAATATTCACTGAGTGCTGCTGTGCTTCTCTCCTCCTGCCATGTAGCTACTTTGTAGGCAGTGAAATGCGACCGCAAATCAGGTGTCTCAACGCGACAGATCTGATGATGTTACACAGATAGGCGAGACACGGGAGCAGCGTGAGAGAGAAAAAAAACTGACTCAAAACGCTCTGATAGCTGCACCCAACCTCTGTTACCTTTGGCTAAAGTAAATGAGTGGAAAAGGGAAGAAAGAACAGAGATTATTGGTGGGGACATGTCCACACCAGTCCTTGAGAAAGTGTGGAGTGCCTTTACATTTATAGGTCCCACCAGGAACGTAACTTATATTACATACCGGTACTAAATAGAGCCTAGGCAGTTCAACTGAAGAAGCGATTACTATTTGTCTCCGTCACAGGCCAATCAGCATCCATCGCTCATCTTAAAAGGGATTCCACTATCTCATAAAAGGTGCCTAAAGTGCAGGCAGCGGTCATGCTATGTCGGACTTCTGTTCAGATTATCCGATTCAACTATCCTCCATCCCCTCCTCCACCATGGTAGCTAAAGCTTCATCAGAGAGTCATTCCTCTCTGACTCTTACTGCGTTCCCTGTCTGATGTCCACCGGTCTGGCAGAAGACTATCATGTTGAGCCTTTTTCCTCTCCACTGTCACTTCACGCTTGCTCATCATGGAGAGGTTTACTCAACCTGTTTTATTTAAGCTGGACTTCCATCTTCCAGGTCCCAGAGTGATGCTCTAGTATCAGCTCACATAGCCCACCGGATTTCTTCACACAGCTAAAGCGGACCGTCTCGCCAACCTCATCCTCTCCCCTCCACCACCACGCCTTAGGCCTTGGGGGAAACCTCCCTGTTATTTACTCTACCCTGTTTATGCATTTCAAAGGAAAATTCTGCACTAATGTTTCTTCCTGAGGTCTGAGCGCCAAAGACTTAAAGTTGTAGGGAAATCATATTTAAATGTCAAATTATTCTGGCTTAAACATGTATATAAATGTACTCTTCATCAGACAATATTTTCCCAAATTTTAGAACATTTCTGCTTTAAAAAAAAATCCTTTCTTAAAATCTGTTGGGGGGTTTTTCATTATTTTATGCAGGCCAGTTAGTTATACGTCAGCCTGAACACCTAGATTCGGCCAATCATATCAACGGTCATCTGTCAATCAAATGTTTTCGGTCATAGCATCTTGATTCATATGTCACAGCTAATATACGCAACGGTTGAAATAAAAAACATTTACTTTCCCATTGAGTGTTCATGGGGATGGACGTCTGTGTCTTCAGCAGGCGTAGAGCTAACAGAACTGGCAGCGTTGCGAGGCAAGGGCTCAAACATTTACGGCTGTAAGCCTTCTACACCAAACCAAGTTTGACGCCCTGGCGTCCTCTTCCACAACAACTTCGTCCCCGCTTTCCTCCTCTAAATAGAAAATGTATGACGGAGGAGACTCATCCACAACCTCCGACACTAAACTCTCCTCCTCTTGCATGTTTCCTAACATTGATAAACCTAACAGCTGTCCATAGCGTTCCTTGACAGTGTCGTTTTTAAGTCACTAATTTAGTGCTACTTGGTCACAATGTAATTTCCCATTGGGAACCTACTAGCACTAACTTGCTAACTGGTTAGCAAGATGCTTCGAAGAAACCGGCCACAATCAAACTTGTTTGTAAACCTTCCACCACAACAATCCAGCCCCCTTGATAATCGACCAATCACATTCACTTTATTGACTTGTGTAAAGTCAGGCACAACTCGGGAGAATTCGGAAATGCATCCGTTGGAACAACCGCTTCCCTGCGACTTTAAATAATTGTATCCATAAAACTCTTCTAATAATGTTTTCTTTCCGTGTGAGTGTTTCAGATTGAACTGCCAGTATTAAAGCAATGTTGATGGCAACAGCACCAAATTTGTTTACAAATATATAAAAATCACAGGCAAATTACATTAGTGTGTCATCCTTTATAGGACACAAATTGCTGAATTTTTTAGCTTCTTTAGCAGCAAGATGTATGGAGGGGGAGGGGGTTTGGGCCTAATCTTTGCTTGTATGTAGACAAAAAGGGTGGATTTTATTTGGTGATGGTTTTATTTTAGTCTGTTATTTCCCTTCCTTCCTTAATGGAAATAAATACATCAAACATGTCCAAACTTTTAGAAATATTCCCTATCACAGCTACCTCTTCCCTGGCCTTTTTTTTTTTTTTTTGCCACAACTTCAGCCAGATTTTGTGAGTCAGGGGTTCACATCACCGAACCTCCCCCAGTTTTCTTTTAGATAAAAAAAAAAAGGCTACATGAAGCAAAACATTTCTGACAATTTGATTAAGATTCAATACAACCTGATTAAAGGCTATTTGCTTTAAGAACAAGATTAATTATTTTTTTTACTGCAACCTTTTAACTTGGTATAACAGCACAATGTGCTGTTATGCGATTACTGATCTATAAATACCAAAATAAAAGAAAAATGTAAAGATTCTGCCCTGTTAATTAGAGTATGTGTTTAGGTTAATAAAAAAAAATAAAAAATTTGTGTTAAAAGCTCTGGCTAATGGAGGATCATACCCCCTACAGCTACCTTTGCTTTAGTGCTCATAGTGCAGTAGGCTACAGCTGTTTTAGTTTGTGTTTTAGTGGTTTTACTTTATGTTTAAAAATCTAAAAGCATTTTTTATTGATATGTCATCTTATAAAATAAATGTTCTGGCTGTTGCCCTGCTAACATATATTTTCCCTGAGAATGATCTGAGATTAATCTGACCTGGCCGTTCACACGCAGGTCGCATTTGAAAAGATCAGATTTGTATCGCATTCAGGACCACATAGCCAAGTGGCCTGGGTCGCACTGGAAAAAATCAGATATATGTTGTTCAGACAGCCATGGAAAGATCAGATTCAGGTTGCATATGGGCAAAAAAAATCGGATTTGGGTAACTTCAGGCTGCTGTGTGAAAGTAGACTTAGATGACTTGCAGATACACACATAATATTCTCTTGACCCCATATAACACAAAATCTAGTTCTGAAAAGAGCATGAATTCTCTATTAATTATCTTTAATGTTTGTATACTGATGTGTATAATTAATCACAAAAAATAAAATGTTTTTAATATTCCATTTGAGAGTATTACTGTTGCCACCTTCTGTATTAGAGGGAAAAAATGGTAGGGGTGGCCACAGGGGTGGACAATGATTGGGTAAGGGTGGCCATGGCCACCCCTGGCCCCCCATCTAGCTCCGCCCCTGCTGAGAAGGTCCCCAAAAAAGTAAAAAAAAAAAAATAGACTAGAATTTGTTTCCAAGTTTGAAGACGTTTCGCTTCTGGGTTGCGATGTCCGCTTTCATCTTAACGCAACCCCTTTACAGGGGACCAGAAGACCTGGACTTCTCAGCCAGGCCAACAATTCCCTTTAACAACCCCCCTTTCAGAGACATAGACAGGTATGGGACATTGCAGGCTAACAAAAGAGGTCAAATGACCCCCGCCATCTTAAAGGGGTGGACCCATTCATCCATTTCAATTTTCTAAGGTTTCGTTGGTCTACTGTATAAGAGCCTCAAACTCAACGCTATTTCTGACATTTTGAATTGAAAAAGCTTCTTGGATGGAAAGCAAAACCTCTTCAAACTTGAAACAAAGTCCAGTGGATTGTTTTTTAACTTTGTTTTTGGGAATGACTAGGACCTGGATGAATGAAAATCTTCACACTGCTCCCAGGGCGCCGCCCAATGGCAGCCCACTGCTCCCAAAGGGGATGGGTCAAAAGCAGAGAGTGAAGTTCCCCATTGACAGACAATGTTTTATAATAAGGCTTCTTTCAGTTAAACTGAAATTAAACATGCTTTTTAAATCAAAACCAGAATTCTGTTAAAACCTATTTAATCTAAATGTCTTGTTTTATTAGTCGTAAGTGGAAAAAAAAATAAAGTAGGTGAAATAACAGAGTTAAAAACATCAGGCTGTGTAATTATTCAATAGATTTTATTGTGGCTCACTTGTTGAATTCAGACACTAAAATAAATAATATTTTCAACATTGTAACTGTATGGATTTATGGAAGTTGTAACTATGTAAACTATATGTTTAATGATTTGCATGAGATTTCAATTATTATTAATTCAAATGTTTGTTAAATTCTGACTAATATGTATAGTGATCTTACCTCATATTACTGCATGAGATAAACTTTTACATCTGCATTTACAAAACTACGTATAGGGAAAAAAACAAGATATGGTCATAGGGAAATATTGCACTTTTTTTTTACAAATTTCTAAAGCTGTTTTAGAAAATTTTGACTGAATCGTTTTCTTATCTGATTATCGTGACAACAGGCGCGTCTAAATCGTCTGGCTCCATCTTTGTGGCTGACACTGTCCAGATTTTATTGTGTCACGGAGCCGCATGCCATCATGGGTTTGCGTGAACCTCCTCCTCCTCCAGCCCCTCACGCACGCACGCACGCGTCAGGAGCGCACAGGGCGCAGCGGTGTCAGTCCGCTCCAGCTCTCCTCTGAATCGGTCGCTTGTTGCTGGTTGCGCTCAGCAGCGGATCTACTGGAGGGCGTCCATTCCGCCGTTTCTGTCTCCTTTATCCTGACAGTTCAGCTCGGAGCAGCAGAGACTCAGAGCAGGAACAGCTCCGGGTTTTTCCCGACTGAACAGTGATTTTTTTTCTTCCTCTTTTATTATTTATCTCCCTTTTTGGAGTGTTGATTTCCTGCTGGGTTTAATAATAACATAACAGAGAAGCGGGAGTATTGAGGTGCCACTTTTTACTGGATTTGTCTTATTTTGGTTCTTGTTTTTAAGCCTTTGGATTATTTTCTTCTCGGAGATGCCAAGTTGTTCCCTGTGAATCGCAGGATGCTGGGGACTCTACAACCACCAGATCTCTTACTCTGATCGCTGTTATTTCCCCTTTTTCCTCTCTGGACGTTTCACCTCTTCTTTTTTATTTATTTTTTGTGTTTATCATATTATCTATGTGGTGCCACATATTAAGGATGCGTTGTGGATTTCTATTGTTCCTTTTCAGCCAAATAATCTTGGTGTCTCCGTTTACTCAGACTGGTAGGTTGACATTACAGCATTATTGACCCGGTTTCTGCATGCTTTTATCACTATTGTCGGCTCTCACCTGGCTGCAGGGGGGATATATATTCAGGGCTGGAGCTGTTTGATCATTTTTATGTTTCATAAAAAAAAAAAAGATGCAGCAAAAGTGATTATTCCAAGTATATATTAGAATTTGGGAATATAATCCCCAACTGCTAAGGATTTCAAAATGCACAACAGGTCCAAGTATGCATATATATTTTATCTCTATGAGAAGATTTAAACATATTAGTCTTTTTGGTCCATAAAAGACGCATTTTTTGGAGGGTATTGCGCGCGTTTCCACTGAAGCATGATCTCCAGGCAACATGCAATTTCATAAACCATCCAGAGAGAAAATTAAATGTAATAAAGAAGCATGTTTTCCTGCACGGTGAGATACATCACATTGAAGATTGGATGCGGATGCGTCTCAGCCACACTTTCACACATTTTTTACATTTTTTTTTTTACTAAAGTTCGAGCATATTTAATACCTCCGTTCAGTGGCACTTCTTGGAAGAAAGGCGCATTGAGGAACCCCTCCTGCGCCCCTTTCACTTGCATGCCAATGATATATTCAGTCTGTTAGATGGAGTCCCTGCAGGAGAGGATCCTCACAGATGGCTGCATCCAAGGTGCTAAAGGTGAAAAAGACTTGGAAGCACAGTTAATGGCAAATGAGAGACGGAGGAGGCAGGCATTAGAGATGCATTGCAATAAACCATCATATTGCATGCAAGAAGACTTTATTTAGCCCTTCAGAACTGGAGTAAATATATAACAAGTCAGTAATCAGTGGAAAATAACTGAAGGTATGATTTAAGATATAAGTCGCTTTTCTCAGGAAAATCTATCTGCTTTTCTGCATCCAATTTGGTCCAGCTTTCATCACTCCCAGTCTTTTAGATATTTCATTGAATTTAGTTATTTCATCTCACTTAAAAAGTGTAAATTATCCCTTTAATTAATTGTAACTTATAATTAGTAACCAAGGCTGAATTGGTTAGTTTACTGTTATATTCATGTTGTGACATAATGTGCCTAATGAGGAAGGCACTCACTATATTGACTGGCCATACAAAGATGCAACAGAGACCTCCAGCCGCCCTCTGACAGAATGGCACCTTGGGTTGAGAGCCCTATCACCCGTAACAAAAAAAAACAACTACTTTCTGTAAAGATTAATCTCTGAACAATCAACAAGGGTTCATTTTAAGGTGTCTCAGGTCAAATAATATGATGGATTGCATTTTTTCTCCTTTTTTGAATCACTTTCTGTCTCACTTTGTGGTGCAGATATGTGCGGAGGAAGCATAAAGATCACTAATGCGGATTACCTGACCTCCCCGGGTTACCCCACCTCGTACCCGCCCTCCCAGCAGTGCGTATGGGTTATAACCGCCCCTGAAGATGGTCAGAAAATCCTTATCAACTTCAACCCGCATTTTGATCTGGAGGACAGAGACTGCAAGTAAGACTCCCGCGCTCTCCTTCCCATGTCCATGCTCTCTCCATCTCCAAACCCTCCCTCCCTTTTGCTCCTCTCCCTCTCCCCTAAAGCCTGCCTGGATACAGAGGCAAACTCTGCCCTCTGTTGGTGAAGGGGTATGATCTGTGGTAGGTGGGATGTGGCAGAGAGAAGGTAATGTCAGAGGAAATGGAGTTTGATGGTCTTTGTAATTCATACTTGATAAGGGAAGAAGGTTCAGTTATGGCTGTTTGTCTCCCACAGTGAACTCAAAGGAAAGCTGCGTGCAGCAGCTTTGATTGATGGAGTTCGACCTCCTCAGTGCAGCAATAGCAAGCATGTTTTTATCTGCAAGAGGATTTTGTGTTTGAGGATGTTGATTCATAGAGTTTCTACTAAATGTATTTTGCACATAACCGCCTGAATGTTATCCATTGATAAAGCAGTGGGATTTGAACTGCTGTATGTTTAAACCGAGGTTTAATGAAAGGGAAATGTTTGGTCCTTTTAACGCCCCAGACTGAAAAAAGAGGCAGCTTTAAGGAAGCGACATATTCAGATATTGATTGGACCAAAGCTATAGAAGATAAAGAAGCTTTATCCAATGCTCTACACCTTCAACCCTACAGTCTTTCTTTCATCTCTCAACTATTTTGTAGACAAAATGACTAATAATAGCTTTAAAAACAATACTGAAGCTTTAAACGCAGCTTTCATTCTCACCTTAAGCTTTTTTCTTTCTAAACTCAATTCAGTTGAGTTTATTTAATTATTTATACATCTTATTGAAATGAAATTGAGTTATTTAAAAGAAATTGAAACCTGAATTCATAAGCATGTATGTAAAATGCTTGTACGGGTTTTTTTGGCTTTAGTTATCAAATTGAGACGATTACTTTGACTATGGCACAAAAAATATATCAATTTAGTTGCAGTGCAAATTTAATACAACAGTTGTACCAGAAACAAGTGCTTGCACAAAGCTCCTAGGTCCCCACAACAAATTTTTTTTGTTGTTTTTACGGTACTAGTGGCTTGTTTTTCTGACAGTAGGCTGACAGGAAAGGGGGGGAAGACATGCAGCTAAGGACCACAGGTCGGATTCCAACCCAGGTCGGCTGCGTTAACCACTGCACCACCAAAGCACACCCCACACCTTCTATATTTGCTGTTTGTGTAATATGGGTTCTTCCTCAACAACATCACCAATAACAACAACTACATCATTAACAGCAACAATGTGGAGCTTTAAAACCAGCCACAGCTGAAATAAACTGTTCAACATACAATATGCTTTGTTGCATATTTGCAACATTAGGCATCAAGGGGATAATATAGATGTTATTCCTGCATGTGTCTGTTGGCACTATTTTTTTTTTACCATTTTCCAGACAAGAAAAAGTTATAATATAATAAAAGTTATAATAATTCTTCTATAGAGTCCTGGTCGAGGCAACAACAAAAATACACATTAGAATCCAAATCTTTACCCAAGATTAAAACTATAAAAAACACAATTTAGCAAATATAAAAATGTCAGGAGGGGATATTTACAGGAGGAAAAACACATCTCAGCATAGCATTCGTTGCTTTCTACTAGGGAAAAGTATTGGCATGGGTGTTAGAAATATGATATGACACGATTCTTGGGTCACAATACGATATCATTATGATATTGCTGTATCACTATATAATGCGATATGTTTTCACAGCTAATTTTTCAAAATTAAATGTATAGATAAAAAAGTAAGTTCTGTGTATGTACATCAGAAGATATTGATCATTTAGTTGGTGTTTGATGGCTTTCTTCCTCCTTAAAGAGAGTATCAGTGACTACCTTCTGTATTATCTATCTGACTGACCCAGAGAGAGATAGTGAGACCATTTAGGGTTTCAGGAAAACCTTTCAGTTGTTTCTGCTCAATTTGCTGATTAAAATTAAAATTGTTGTTTCTCTGGTTTTTGGTGATCCCTTCCCAGCCTGGCATTGTGTGTTTCAGAGCAGCAAGCTGCCAAAAAACCTCTCCTTTTATAAAACAAGCTTATTTATTTGTTGCTCTCTCTATTATTACAAAAAAACAAACAAAAAACACCAGCATTAACAAAGACTATGAGAGTTGACCTTTATAGATGCACATCTGTTATGTATACATTATAGGGAGGACATTATAAACTCCTTGCACTCTGCAGAAACATCGGTATGCACTCCCCTTCATGCTAAAAGTTTAGTTTTAGCAAATTTGAAGGCTGTTTCAGTTTAAGCTGGGATTTCTGCAGCTTAAAAGTAGGTCCTGAAATTTTGTAAAAGTAGGAAATAATTTTGGGCCCTAAAATGCATCCTTGATAAACCTCTTCATATATTTTAAGCCGTCCAAAACTTTTTAATTGTTTGAGGTAACGAGATGTATATTTGTCTTTTTCTAATTGCAGAGTCAAGCTTTTTGAAATAAAAGTTTGCCACCCTCATATTAGATGCAATTGAAAAATTAACAAAACACACTCAACCATCCAATGCCATTTTTTTATTATTTTTTTTTGTTTGTTTTTTTATGGCGGCTCCTTTGTCCCTTTTAAAAGCTCCATAAACTACCGGGTGTAAATCTCTGCCTGCTGCCCAGCTCTGCCTCACAGATGTAGGGATTAGGGGGAGCTTCTTCCAATACTATTGGATCACATTTCAGCACCAAGGGACTAATAAACCATTAGTGCTCTGGACAGATAGCGGATATCATGTGTCCTTTATTGGGTTACACTTCTTCTGCCTGAGCTGCAGCCAAACAAGTAAGAATAATGCTCTTGAACAGGTTTATTTTTGGAATAACACCATGAGTCGTGTAATTGTGTAATTTTACAGGTTAAGTGAATAATGTAACAAAATCATTCCCAGCGATACGAGTTTAGACTAATCTTGGCACCAACAGGATATTATCATTCACTTTAAGATTAATCTATTTAGATAGATTATTGTTGCTTCGCAAGAAGGGATTATTAGCTAATAAATGGTTTTAAAATAGGGACATGGGTATTTTCTAAAGTTATGGCATGGATAACCTTGTCTTTACAAGCCGGATTCTTTTTCCCTTTGCCTGACCACCCAGCAGCCACCTCTAAAAGTGATTTGGCTGTTGCCTGGAGGCCCTACACTCTGCTCGATTGGTTTCATTATTTGTTGTGTTAGTTTGTGTTGGATGATGATCGGGTGTAGCTCGTAAGTCTAGACCTGGCAGGAGTTATGTTGTTTTTGGGAATAAGTCAAATGTTGGAAATGTACTCACTAAGGGAGGCCTTAGGCCCTTTGGCGAGACGGCAGCCCCACTTAAAAATTTCCTGAGATGGTATCAGGGAGGCTTTCTGGGCTTTGCTAAGAGATGCTTCATCATTTACCTTAGAGTCTGGGCTGCAGACTCCAGAGCTTAAACCTATTCCATTAGTTTAGCTGTTTTGTAAGAGTTTTAAACCAAATCCTGTTCTTTTATACTAACCTTTAAGGAGAACAGACATTTAATAGGACTTTTTCTTTAAAGTTCTGCTGTTTCTATAAGGTTATAAAAGTTTCCAGCAAACATCTCACCTCATTTTAGCAAATATTTAGTTTTCTGTCAGGGAATGATCATTGTTGGCACATTTCTTAGACTCAACACAAACACAGTGGTTTGCTTGCATTAAGGAGCCTTTTCATGACTGGGCATAATAGGCTAACTTATTTATTTTATTATCCTCTAAAAGTGATTTTCTGCTGCTTTAAAATGGGTGAAAAAGTCAAAGCAAAACATGTCAAAAATACAAACTTAACTGTACAGACAGTTTTGCCTTTGTTCCTCCAAGAAACTTGGAGGATAAAAATATTGAATAAGTTTGGCTTTTTTCCCTTAACCCCATAACCCCCATGATCAGTCATACCAGCTGTGGATGGATGGATGGATGGATGGATGGATGGATGGATGGATGGATGGATGGATGGATGGAT